ACCATGTACCAAAACAAATACTTATAGCATGCCAGCTTCAAATTGCTTTTTTCTTTTTTTGAAAAAAAAAGTTATCATGCCAAAATAGAGATATGTTATAGAATGTGATTTATTCATTTATCCATGGATCTTCAGTTTAGTTTTTTTTTTTTTTTGGCATAAGACAATAAGAATTTACCATGTACCAAAACAAATACTTATAGCATGCCAGCTTCAAATTGCTTTTTTCTTTTTTTGAAAAAAAAAGTTATCATGCCAAAATAGAGATATGAAAGTACTGGTTACTCTATTCATACCATTGGTATTACATCGCACAAAAGAAGTGGCAAATAAAAAATAAAGTTTAAAATATTTTTCCTAGTTCATTTAATGTGCTTCATTATCATCTGGTTTATATCTATTTCTAGTTTAATGGTTCCTAATCAACTATATATCATAAGTAATATAGTGAATGGAAAGGTAAGATAATTGACCTACCCTTTGTTATATATTCAGTCCTAATTACTAGAAAAAAATCAGTGTACTTTCTAAGTGATAAAGACTGTATTTTCTTTACATCTTCCATTTCTCATCATCTCCTTCAGATAAAGATGGGAATAGGATTAGCACCACAAGAAAAGAATCCTCTCCTCTGGAAATTTGGGTATTTGTCTTCCAATTAATTAATGGAAGACTGCAAAAAATGGGTATTCTTTTTGAAATGCTATCTTGAGACTCTCTGTTTCCTGGAAACCATATTTCACTTTTACTTTTTTGAATTGAATTATCCCTTGTTCCCCTTTCTTTCATTCTTCTTTACCAGCAATCACCAGAGTAAAAAGTTCTCACTGAATTATTGAATCTATACCTACCACCTATTTTTATCTTCTTTTCCTTTTTTTTTTGTTTGTTTGTTTGTTTCAGGAGGAAGACTAGTGGGAGTACTTTCTGAGGAGTAGTAGCATGATTCAGATTTAGAGCTTTTTAAAATAATTTACTAAAAGCACATTGTAAGTAAGTAAAGAGTGCTGCCCCAACAACTGGGCAGGCACAAGTCCTGCTTATTCTGATCTGTACCATTATTGCAGGGATGGAGAGGAAAGAAGGGCAGTAACAGGAAGAAAACCAGAGGCCTTACATGATTCCAAGAGAGTCTTTACAGTCAAACTAGATCACTTTTTCCAATATAAAGAGCTGTTTCTATTGGCATAAAATCTCAAGCACTGGATATGAATTATATTTGTTGAAACTTATCTACTACAAGCCTTTTTGCTCTTCATTAAGTTCCTGTGAAATTTGGTTGGAGGACTTAAAGTCAGCTGGGACAGATTGGAAGGCAAAGTGTGCTTTTCAGATAGCCTTTTATTTTAATCCCAAAGGTCATATGTACATACTGTTGAAAATTCTAACAGTAACAATAGAGTCAAATCACCCTCAGATCTCATCCTTCAGAAAGAATTACCATTAAACATTTTATAGATTTTTTTGCAGAAAAGTATTTTTCTGCTATCTTGCCATGTCAGATGTATAGCTCTGTCTAGTTTAAGGTAAATTTCAAGGTCTGTGTATAGCAAACTATTCCACAGTATTGCTTCTTACATATTTGTGAAGTAGTGCTTGTCACAAATTGAAATTTCCAAAGAAAAATCACCTAGAGTTTATCTAATCTTAAAAAAAATTAACCTCCACTATGGTGATGGCACATGGGTGATTTGGTGATGGGAAGCCCATGGGGATTACAACTGAGATAGAAAAAGGCACAAAATGATGTAAAAATAAACTATTATATAATTAATTAATTAACCTCAAAATTTCTTACTACAATAAGGATCCCTACATAAAACTATAGGTGCGAGGAAAAAATAAAACAGTGTCACAAACTTCAACAACCTGTAATATAATTACTGTTTTTTAATTTTAATTTAAAATATAAAACCAACCACACTTATAAAAAGTGTGAGAAAAGAAACATAGTAACTCTAGAATATCATTATCTCATTATTTTACAATCACAGTATAACTAATTTTATGTGGTCCTAAAAGTCTATTTTATTTATAATTGAAATAAATGATGTTTATAACTGGATTACATATTTACATCTGAAATCATTGATATAGAAGTGATATATTTGTACCTAAACTATAACAATTAGAAGTCAGAAAAAAATTAATACTGGAATGTAATAGTTATATAATAACCATGAATTATTTTACATCCTTTAATATTTTCAGATACTAATAACAGACTATCAGATCGATTATAATTTTTGTGAGGTGAATCCTTAGTATATAAGAATACTCAAGAAACAAGATAATATTAAGATCATTGGTATATTTCCCCTAAAACAATTTTAAAAACCTACACAATAATAAGCTGATCTTGTTAAAAGAAATGAGCCAGCAACTATTTTTAAATTACAATTGCTAATATTTTGGAAAGAATATAATGATATTCAGGAGGAAAAACTAGATATTAGGTTTGAGAAAAAATTAAGCAAGATGAAAATGTAAATGAAAACCCAAGATAGAATTATCTTTCCCTCAAAACACACAGGCTCTAATCCACAGCTTATCTCTGCTCCTGGTTAATTCCAAGCCTTTGTCTCCATTAATGCCCAGGACAAGGTGAACGTAGTAACAAATCAAACTAATGCAGTCAGGCTAATACCTGGAGCGTCTCTATTATCTGACAACTGCCTAAATGAGGTTATTTGGTCTCCTGTAATGGCATTTGTCTTTTGTGAAGCCAGCCAGACAAAGCCCATCACTAAAGAGTGCTAGTGGAAACAATGGCTGTGTGTGTTGGTGGTCAACTTTTGAGTTAATCAGTGTTAATAGCTGCTTTCTTTCACCTCCTGCATCTTATCACACATCACACGAATGGCAATGGCATAAATCCCCCATTACTGAGCCCAACACACAGCATCAACCTGGAGGTTGTGTTAAATTCTAAGGCCAGGAAGCTGTGTGCTAGTCTACTTACTTGATGTAGAACCCAAATCAAAGTATGACAAATGCTGATTTGTCTCCATTTCATTGAGTACCATTGAACAAAAACACTGCCAAACACCTTTCGCTAAACTTTGACTATCCTGTCAAAAACCTAGATACTAGGTTTGAGAGAAAATTAATCAAGATGAAAATGTAAATGAAAAACCCAAGATAGATTTATCTTCCCTTCAAAACACACAGGCTCTAATCCTGTGTCCTGTATACTGCTAGGTTATCAGTCAGCGGCAGCCTAGCAGCTCTTGGTGCCTCCCACCACTCCATATCCCTCCACTCCTCCCTTCCCATTTTCTTCTCTCTTTTCATTTCTACTCCTTTCCCTTTTCCCCTGATGCTTTGGTAAGCTTATTGGCATCAACAGGCATTATTGAGTCCCACAAATGAAACTCCAGGCTAAAAACTTTATTGTTTACTTTCTACGTAGTAGAGCATTACCAACAGTTTAAGATCTTCTTGTCTGTTCTCCAGGTCTCTGAGGATGGCCTAATCAATCATCATCTTGATTTAGCATTTTTACAACATGGTGATTTCAGTGAAAAAAATAACACCATAGTTTATGTCTTATTTTCCACATCATAAGCTTACAAAAGAAAGTTACATCTTTTATAACTGGTGTTGGTCAAGAAATTGCCTAACATGGGGTTGTTTTTATTAGCTGCATCCCCTCTTTGATAGCTATTTGTGGATTTGTGTTATGCAGCCCAAATTGCTCTTGATCTTTTAGTTCAGTCACATCAAACAGAATTACTCACTGGAGACAGCCTAGCAGTGTAGTCAAGAACTTGGGCTGGAGTCTGGTCACCTGGGTTTAAATCCCAGTCTCTATTTGACCTTGGGGCAATTTCTCGATAGCTCTGTGCCTTACCTATAAAATGGGGATTATAGTGGGATTTATATAGAGTCATTGAAGGAGTTAAATGAGACAATGGACGTAATAGGGAAGTTTGTCTAGAGCACTGTTTTCATGTCTAGAACAATGTGTAGCATATAGTGAGTTCTCGGTCAACAATAAAATACATATAAAAACAGTTCCTTGTCTCCAAGAGTTCACCATATGATAGAAAAGACTAAAGCACAATAGCTCCAGACGCCTCTATATTATTCTTCATTCATTATTCAAGAAATATTATAGTCTGCCTTAAGCTAATCACTGTGTGAAGCTCTGGTGATGGAGTGGTAAACAAACAGGTTCTCTACCACTTGGAGACTTCCTGTATCCAGTGCCTTGCACAATCATAGCAAATAGTTGGCCTGCAATCAATGATAAATGAATAAATTTTTTTAAGCGTAAGAAAATAACAGGGAATTATATACTTAAGCACTAAATTCATGTGTATAGATGACTGGACTGCAGTAGGTTATAGGAGGGAGGGAGATATGTAAAGAGATAAGTAAAGGTATATATATATACAGAGATATAAAAACCAAATGTCAACTTGTTGCCTCCACTTGTGTGGTGTGAGAAAAGGCCAAGAAATGGGTGTTGGTGGAAGGGTGTTCTTTGTGAATGAACAGCATATTGTGAGAATATTCAGAAAACAAAACTGGTGGCCTCCTTAGGGTGAAAGGTGCCTATTGTGCAACCTATGAGTTCACAAGTCCATATG